TTATTTAGTGTTCTGTCTGACGACAGGTCCCTATGAACAGGATCCTTCCATCCTTTTCTCGGACTGGGACCTGTTCATATACGTTCTTGGCAGATGATCCAGAAGTGGTTTGCCATTGCCTTCTTCTGTGTGTGAATGGAGTAATTGTTGGGATGCCACGGAGAAAAACTCCGTGTTGCCTAGACCACGGCCTTGCCCAACACAAGTTATAAATTCGGGCACCGCCGGCAATCGAACCCGAGACGCCAGGATTACAAGGCCAGCGTTCTAACCGCCAGACCACCGTGGCGGTCTCTACCTGAAACACCGTCAATAAACGAGGCACGATTACGGAGACAATTGTTTCTCAGTGCATACGCCATTACAACGTCAACTAACAATAAAACTGACTAAATAAATACGCGTAAGCGCCACGCATTCTACATTCCGCACTTCGGCTGTCCATCGTGAAAGACGAATTTGGAGATGAAGTCATCTGCCAGTCTCAATGATGAATCATCACCCCCCACCCCACGAATTTCAATAACCATGGAGACAGAACGAAAAGCTTATTTCAAAGACTTCAGAAGAGAAAATGAAACAATCCTCCTCAAGACGCTATCATTCACACGGTAGTTGAAGAATGTCCCAGCTTCGATGTCGTGTTCGCAAGAGCTCGAAGCCAATTCAATTCAGTTCGTAGACTAACGTCACATTTTCTGAAAGTCCTCACACGAAGCCTCAAATCTCCTGTTGCCCCTTCCATTACGATTTTCAAAAAAAAAATTGTTGAAGGCATTTCTCATCTCCCGCAGTCGTGCTACATGACTAGACCATCACATCCTTGATCTCACATAACTTTTATCCCCATCTGGACCATGAACATTTAGAATATCATCAAACCTTTTTTCGTTTCTAATTGCAAAATCCAGTGCAAAATTTGGTAGCAATTTTTTTTATCCGCTTAAACGAAATCAGAAGAACGGCCCCTTGTCGGCTGTCCGCTACAGATTATCCAATATAATTAAAAGATTAATATAAAGATAACAACTATATTTTTGATTCTGCGTTGTCTATCTCCCTGCTGCAAATTAGCAAGACTGATTTCAAAACCCACGCATGCAGATAATCCTTAATCCAGCCCACCTTAATCACGCAACACCATCTTGTATTTATTTACAACTGCGAGCATTTGAAACGCTGAGAATGGCAATGCCTGATCTGTTTATAAACAGTCTCGTAATATTTCGCACGCATGGGTTTAAGAGTTATTCGTGTTTTCAATGTCCACAGATGAATATTAACCACAAAGAATGTAAAAATCTAACTAAAATAAAACTGGAGGTGTACCAATGACCTCAGAACGAGGTCAGGTGTGACCTTCCCACACATCTCTCGACCCACACAAACCTGACTGAGTACCAAACCCAGTAACCAGATTGTTCGTGCGTCACATTGGAGGCGTCTTGTTTTGCCCAAGAACAACTGACGGTCTCAAAGCGATAGAACTGAGTTCCGGAATTGAATCTGACTAATGTTTAGCGTAAGATAACACGGCCAATGTGTTCGCCGCCAGTCGGTCTATCTGACTGACGACAGGTCCATATGAACAGGATCCTTCCATCCTTTTCTCTTCTCGGACTGGGACCTGTTCATATACGTTCTTGGCAGATGATCCAGAAGTGGTTTGCCATTGCCTTCTTCTGTGTGTGAATGGAGTAATTGTTGGGATGCCACGGAGAAACCGGGGAAGCCCCCGGAGGAAAACTCCGTGTTGCCTAGACCACGGCCTTGCCCAACACAAGTTATAAATTCGGGCACCGCCGGGAATCGAACCCGAGACCCCAGGATTACAAGGCCAGCGTTCTAACCGCTAGACCACCGTGGCGTGTAGTTTGTGTTAAATGGAATCTGATGTATTTAGATTTCTTACTAACAGAACACGTTCAATTTTCGTCTAAATTTGGACAAGACTGACTAGTATTTTCAACTCCACAGCAACGAACGAGTGGCTTGAAGACGAGAAAACCAACTTCTATAAACCTCAGGGTCAATGAGACAATGTTTTTACATCAAAAGCGATGGTCCTCTTTAAAAGACAAACTTGCGAGAGGACAGCGAGGCTTGCAATGTGACGTCAGAGGATAATTGCGGTTAATTTTCATTTAAATGAAAACGACGTATCTCTTCCGAGCACCCGGTCTGATAAGAACTGCTGGCGACACGAATGTGACGACTATAATTCAGATTGGTTAGAAATCTTTTGCAAGAAAGTCAGTAATGAAACAGACGGAAATAAATCAAAACTCAATTAACGATGAAGACGATATTTGGATCCAAGGAAGATGGAGGCGTACATAAATTAATTAATCCACCACACGAATAAGCGAAGTAGTGAATCAGATGTATTCTCATTTTCTATCAGGAAAAGTATTTGACTTCTCAGCTTCGAAAAATCAGAGGAAAACGATTAAAAATAATATAAATGAAAGAGACTGGTTGTCTGTCTGTATTACGCACTATGACCGCTGATTTATGCTAACCTTGAAACAGCTACAGAGGGTGATCTTTAGCAGTGGCTGAAACATGGCGGGTGCTTAATGTTAATTTTTTTTAAGCGTAAGAATTTGAAGAATACAGAAAGAAAGTTTATACTTTCTAATTCATTTTTGTAAAATTGTTATAATCATAACGTCACATTAATAAGTTTTCATCCTCTCCTGGCCGATATACCAACAAATCTGTGCAAAATCTTGAGGTGGGAAGGGAAATTCCTCAATTCGGTTTCGTATACAATGACACAGATTTTTTTTAAAAAAAGTACGTTTTAATAACGTTGCTTTAATATTAGTGAAATTAACGTACAATTTTGAATCCCCGATGATACACCAACTCCGAAGATAAAACTCGATATCTTTCCACCGCGTTAGTCGTAACTTTCGATCAACAACGAGAAGTTGGCGCCACTTTCCTCGGTCGCATTTGTAACACACAAGGTTCGAATATCGGCTTAATTATCTTGAATTAAATTTCAAAAGTTTTTCTTCTCCCTCTGTAGCAAAATTTCTGAAAAGGCTTTCAGATCCACGTCTACCGACTACTCATCATCCGAGAGGTGTGCTTTTTTCACTTGAAACAAAGTAATCAACACCACTGATACAAAAACCCTCCATCTAATTGGAACCTAAGCCCATTACATTTTCCTCCCAGTCCTACAACCTACCGCCCTGATGATGGAAGCAGTGAACATCTCTGAAACGTCAGCCAGTCTCTACAAGACTACAAAGCCAAGCATCGCATAATACAGTCGTTTTATTTGTGTAAAATCTATCTTTCAACGTTGTTCGTCGTGTGATTATCTAAAATGTTCATTCACTTCATCAAAGGTTAAGTCGAAATATCTGCCCGCTTTCAAACACGCGTAAGTCATCGTTAAATAATCTTACTTTACCTTGGTCCATTGACACGGCAGCGACGCCGAGAGCCAAGAAAGGCAGCACGGCCAATTGGATCCTCATGCTGTCCGATCGGTCACTACCGCTGCGCGCACAGTCTGACCCGCTATGGTGCGAGCGCCACTTCACGGCCTCCTTAAGTACGCACTGGCCGCGTGTAGGACGGGGCCACTCGTCCCACGGATCGAAATCAGGAGCAGCGTTTCGATAAAGGCGGTTTCAAATCTCCACATTTGCTTTCAACAATTCCGCATATTTCAAAAACAATTACGCTGGCAATGTAAAAGACCCATCGAAATTCAATAAGGGCTTAATTCTTTCGTGTCACATCTTAATGAACCATTCTTTTAATTTGTTATCGTTCCCTCTCATTTAAACAGCGCACAAATGGCATGAAGATACGAAACTGTACATTTTTTAAAATCAACAACGCCTACACTACAGGCAAACCATACACCATGACTGTTAAATGGTCTGCCTACAAACCAGGAGATTTTGACGCCGCCACTGATACTTATTCTTCGTACTCCTAAAATGAAAACGAGGTCTTACTTCTAACAACACAGCAACTAGGAGCAATACTAAGGGAGTAACTGAAGCCACTTATGGTAATAACACCGTCATTTATGTGCTGCCATCTGGTTGCTGTTTCAACAACTACTAGAAGTTCCATTTTCAGTTCCATGGCACGGCTGCATGAACATTAAATTCCAAGATAATTTTCAATCAAGAGAATATTTTCTAAGACTGTCGTAACCTTGTGATTACCATTCTACGTACTTATTCATCCTTCTTCTTCTTCCTTAAAGCTTATATAAAGAAATAATAATTTTCAAGGAAACCTGCGTTACGGAACAGAACGCAAATCCAAGTTTGAAATCACCCGGGCTTGAACTCATGAATGACGAAGCAAAACAGACTGGTGTATATGCCCCATTTTACTCGAAATGTCGATCTTCAACCTGTAACACGAATTTTAATAAATAAGACGCTATTCAAACGAGCACAAAAGTTCACTTTTATAAGTAAGTACATGGGTTCGTAACTCATTTTAATAAGGGATAATAAAGATTAGCGTAAAGCTCACACAATCAGTTTATTTATTGTCACAAATCACACATACACTAAACAAATCTTGATCCAACACGGCTACCGTCGGTAGCGGTAGCGCTTGAAGTGGAACCACAGCTGAAAGATGTTGTTGTGGAACTGACATCGAAAGCCTCGCTTGTAGGAGTACTCCCACTCTCGATTCACGATCTTAAATGCTATGTCTTCATACGGAGGACCAGCGTGGAAACGAAGGTTTGCAAAATCCCTGTTGTCCGTGCAAGGGGTCTGCAGACAAATGGAGATACAGGAAGGTAATGGATAACCTTTGTATTTCTGATGTTTTCTGTCAAGATGACATTAATAGCTGAAATATTAAATTCAAATTCAGCCACACCAAACGACTGCTGACCACAATGGAGTAAACGAGGAATTGAACGCACACAGCGATTACAATGTAAATGTAGATGGCTGCGTTTTTAATGACGAGTGAGTTGCCGGCAGAGATTATGCTATTTCCAAAAAGTTCTATTTACTTGCAAAAGACTACGTGAAGGAAACGGCCACGTTACAGAGTGGCCAATGTCATCGAGGACCGTGGAAACTTACCAGGAAATACTCGGGGGTGGTGTTCTTGTCGATAAGATCCGGGTAAAATATGTTGAATTTGTAGCCTTGCACAATCTTCGGGGGAGGGTTGTCCATATCGTAGTGGGTCTGATTATACTTGTTCCATTCGAACCCAGTGTGTACCCTGCAACACACACACAGTTCGTGTCAATCTGACGTCAGGCACGTAGACTTTGGAAGAGGCAGAATTGCTGCCGATACAGACCCGCAGAACTGTTCTTTATGTTGGCGTCTCTCGACTACACAGCTTAATATATGCAAGTTCACACAAAAAGCCCACTGCTCTTTCATTGGTCGGCAAATGAGGAACGGTTGGGAAATGCTGCTTCAGAAGACTTACCGATTGAAGTATCGAGGCTTGCGAGGGCGGTACTTGTCTGACCACAAGTACACTTGACTATCCAGAGCTGTTTCAACGGAGAATTCCGCCTCGTCTGCCGTCATGCCCTTCCTAGCTTCTCGCTGCAGCGCTTGCTCCTCTGCGGTTATCACGCTCTGCTCACCAGAAACAAAAAGGATGTAACAATCGACGTAACGTTACATTACAAAAACAATATCTGCAATAATGCCGCACTGAGGCACAGTTTAATACACTGTAATGACAGTGCTGCAAACACAATCTGATTTACACAACAAACAATATACATAATAATAATAATCTGTGGCGTAACAGCTCCAGACAGCCTAAGCCGACTAGCTTGACCGCTGGCCTCACGTTCACATGCCTAAGCAGAGGTGAACGATCATCCAACCAGATATAGGGTGACGTGTGGTCAGCACGACGACCCCCCAGCCATTGCTAGTTTTCCTGACTGGATTACGCTACTCATTGTAGCTCCCCAATTTCCTCACGATGCTAGGTTGGCACCAGTCCCATACACCGATCAAAAATCTCATGAGAAATTTCTTTCCCCGAGACTCGAACCAGCGCGCATTCCGTATCACTGGTCCGAAGCACGATGCCTCAGGAGATTATCAATGCTTCAGAAGAACATACCACCTTCATCTTCACTTTGAAGGTGAAGGAGGAGGCAGTACGTTCGTCTGAAACACCGGTAACCATCTACAACGCTGAACAGTGTCTCAACCCAGTAGACCAACGCTCACCATCTTCTTCGCTATCGGCTAAACAGGCCGTGGCAACAAATTGTCGTTGGTGGTAGCAAATCAAACAGATTTTACTTGCCTCAACACGACTGCCCGTGCCTTGCACCTGTATCCTGGCAAACTCCAGTCTCTGGAGGTCATCTTCCTCGTTAATCACAAAGGTTCCAGGGTCGAGATGCGACTGACTCGTGTACGCAGGGCTGTATCCTCCAGACTCATAGTCGGCGAAGCTCTCGGACAGCATGGCGTCTGCCACCTCGTTTCCTCGCATGACCTCATCCCTAAAAATTGATGTTTACCAGATTTAGAACGTTCTTCTGTTTGCTGCTCTCATTAACAGAAATACCACACACATAAAAAGTCTCAGGATCAACATACGAGATCCTGTAACAATATTTGACTAAATCCACACAACCCAAATAAGAATCGTCGACGAAATCACCTTCAGTTCCGTCACGAGAGTTCTTCGGCTTACCCTTCATCCTCCTCGCTCTCTGACGATTCATGAACGCTGACTGCTTCACTCTGAGAGTCTGGTTCTGTCTTAACTGTGGTTTCCACCCCTTCGCCCGTCTCCTCCTCCGCGCCGGTTACAGCCACCCCCTGCTGCGCCTTGAGCATCTCCAGCTTTTGTCGCAAGTTGTCCTGGTGCCTGTCCCGCAGTCTTGCTCTTGCCATGTGAGCTGTAAAAAACGCGGTTCCCGATACAGTCGACAACTTGCCGTAAACAAACCAGATAACCGTCAATGGTCGTGAACCAAATTAAAGACTTAAATGAATGTTAATATCAGCAACATGCTGCTAGAGGTCACCTCTCTCACCAATGAACCTATTCACCTCCTATCACCAATAATACCAACATGCAAACTTATAACGTGGAAGTGAAACTGATAATTATGCAAGAGTACTAGCCCAAAATTCTGTATTTGTGGGGTAAATGACATTTGAAAAGTATGCGACTTTCGTCAAGATTTTTTTTCCCCATAAAATGAAGAACAACATTATGGAAGCCATGCAAAATCTATACCAAGACCATTATTATGGCAAGAACTCGTGAAACAACGTAGAAAGTAAAATTCATATGGACACATGATATAAAAATAGCTACCAATTAAAAAATAAAACTCAGCTTAAATGTTCACAATTAAAATTTGATGACAGCGTAAAATTTATATATTTATACTGACAGGAGGAATCATCTCCTGAGAACTTATTTTCCAGCTAAATCCAAAAAGTTTGAAAGCTAAAATAAGGCTGATAAAAAATATATGGAATAAAAAAAATGTTTTTGTTTAAATTCAGGTGGGCCATCTCATTCAAACTGACAACGCAAGGCTCTGTCTATGATCACGGAACTACAACTCTAACGCGCCACTAAACCAAACCTAACCTTTCAGCTGCGACAGAAGAGACTCCCAGTAACCAATATCCACACCCTCCGGCTTCCCGCCGATCTTCGTCTCGATCTGCAGCTGCAGTGCCTCCAACTGCGCAGCAGTTTTCCCTTTGAACACCGAGGCAACTTCCTTTGCCACAGACTGATGGATCCCTTCACGTCTGCCAACAGCTGATAACAAATTAATGACCTCAATTATGCAATTACGTTGCTGTTCTTGGTTTTGGAACCAATAAGGCTTGTAGATGGACATCAATGTCTTGGAGAAAGTATGTTTTTCTGCAATGTTTTGGAATCTACCTACAAATCCACTTGGTGCCAAAACCCAAGACGTCACCTCCATCATCCTCGTCGCAGCAAAAACCTAAAAACTTGACAAGTTATTATCTCAGTTTATAAATTTAACATTCTGACGCCACGAGAAGATGATTATGTATGGCAAGTGGATAGAAATTTGGAAAGCAATGCTTGCGGCCTAATGAAGAGTGGCATCCGCCTGGAGGGACAGAGGAAAACCACAAAAAACCTTGGTCATGAGACCAGTAACGCAGCTGAACTTTGAATCACGCGCCTCTCAAATACAAGCGTACAGCATTACTGCTACGCCAACTTGCATATGGATCACTAAAGGCATAAATACTGGCACGGTAAATCCGAACTCCTCAGAAAAAATGGTAACGAAGTGTAAATTATCGAATACAAATCCCACAAGAACGTCGATGGCATTAACAAAGATTTCCAAAATAATAATAACTGTGTAACTAAGCCACGTTCAAGACACGGCCGAGCCATTACTTTTACCCCAGAACCATACCAGGCCATTTCAAAACTACCCCAAAGCTGAACGGTCTAGCTAGAAAAACTCAGTCTTCAAAACCTCTTAACAATGACCGACGACGCACGAGACGGCACAAATATGAAGTTGTGCAATACATTACCTGCTTCATACGCACTCTGTTTCTCCAATTTACGCAGCTTGTGCAACTCGTCCTCCACGATGACAGTGATGTCATTCCAGTAATCCAAATTCTTGCCCCGTTCCAGCTCTTTGTACACCTGGAAGCCAAGAAATACAAGATTACTGTCCCCTGGGACGCCGCAACACGTCGTCTGGCAGAAACCGATCACCGGTGCTTACTGCGTCCATCACCTGGGCAATGATGACGATGGAAGCAGTAAGCACCTCTGAAACATCGGTCAGTTTCCAAGAGACCACACGGAGCGACATCCGAGAAGACGTCCGTCTTTGACCGATTCTTTGGTTTTGTATAAATACTCTTTCAGCCGCAGGGCTTACGTGGTGCTGAAAGACGGGACGACAGGTGTGAGTGAAGCGGTAGGAGATAAGAACTAGGAAGGAGACAGTAATCCATCACACTGCAGAGAGAACAAAATAATTAAGACTGACCTTGATGTCCTCAATCAGGTCTTCCAAGTCTTTGATGGTGAGTCCGTTGAGGTACGTGTATGGCTCATGCATCTCCACTGCATCCACTTCCTCCTCTGCACTGATGTACTTAGCAAGCAGGTCAATAGGTTTCGCTGCACACACACGATCAACATGATACAGTTTTTTCAAATAAAATTGCTCAAGCCTTAAATATATTAACAGACACAGAGTGATAAAGTATATTTTCTCAGCTCGTCAAACCATTTTCCGACTCTTACAGAACCAAAAGGTTCGTTACCATGCCCACAAGAGCCCACAACTGCCCCCTATCCTGAGTCAGTCTAATTAGGTTCTATCCTTCCTCAGATTATATTTCTATAAGATCCATTTTAATATTATCCTCCCATCCATGCAATAAAGAAACAGATAAATCATAACTGCAAAACATCCAAGTAAATGGCGAGCGGTTTTCACACCTCGTCCGTCCTGGATGCGGATACGGGAGCGCAGTCTGGCCTGCTCCAGGTGGAATTGGTCCTCCTGCCGCTCCCACTCCTGGAACTGCGCCGCCTCCTTGCTGCGCTGCATCAGCGACATCTCATCCTCACGCTGCTGCCGCTCCAGCTCACGCTCCTGTCTGCGTTTCTTGACCTGAACCAAATCAGTTCAAGTACAGTCATGACTGACAAATAATCACGAGACGCTGCATATTCCGAGTGCTCGGTTTTCCTCAGACATTCCTTGCAAATACTGAGACACGACGGCTTCGACTCAAAGCCCTTGCTCTAATACCATAGACTGTGAAAGCAGCGCTAAGACTTTGATACATAAAAGCTGCATTAGACAAACAAAAATCACTGCGTCATTGGTTTTATGGATTGTAATACCACGGACACTTGTATATAGACAGTAACGTTCAGTCCTGAGTCTATGTACAGTCAAGCCTCGTCTTATTGCGCTTTGCAGATATTGCGTTTCTTATAAATTGAAGGTTTGTGGCAACCCTGCGTCGAGCGAGTCTATCGGCGCCATTTTTCCAACAGCGTGAGCTCACCCCGTGTCTCTGTCACATTTTGGTAATCCTTGAAATGTTCTCGCATAGTTTTTTAGACATAATGCTATTGCACACTTAATAGACTACAGCAGTGGTCCCCAACGCGGTGCCCGCGTTCTTACGGAAAGAGGTTATACTGAATAATGAAGGCCGTTCAACCACGAACATCATAAAATCAAAGCGCAGATCTTGACTTACTGACGCCCATCTTGACGATTGTTTGCGAGCAGCGACATCATCCTACACTCCCAAATTTGAAAAACTGGCCGATGAAATGCAGCGCCAAACATCACACTAACTCCGAATTTCAAACGGCATCTTTAAATACGATGGGTGAAGTAATCAACAGCACGCACCTTCTCCAATTCCCTGCGATTCTCTTCTTGCTTCTGCCGATTTCGAACTTCCAGCTCCTCTCTGCTGACGCCTGTCAGTCCTTCCTTGTCCAGTTTCTTAGACCACACAAATGTCGCCAGCAGGTTACCATCCCCAAAGGGATTGTCCGTGTTGGTATAGTGCAGGTAATCGTTGTCCCAGCCCATTCGTTCTTTTCTTTTGCGTTCCTTAGCCTCCTTCTTCTGCAGTCTTCGCAACCGTTTCTCTTCTGGCGTTTCCGTGGCCTTGAGCAATTCCTTTTGCCGTCGACGTTCCTCCGCGTGACGGATTCTCTCTTCTTTCAGTCTCTGCAGCAATTTCACTGAATTAGCAGATGAGTCAGAGTCAGAGTCCGAAGAACTGGATGGACTGTTACTTCTAGATGACCTAAAACAGTAATCAACAAGATGACTTCTATTTTATATCCATAACATTATATAAACTGCACGTCACATAATACACTGATCATTGGGTTGCTTAACAATGTTTTCTAAAATTTTATGGTTTCCTATTCTCGACAGAAAAATAATACGATTACGACTGAATATTGCAGCCTAGCTGTTATCACTCCTGCTTCACATTCTGGAGGTCTTAGGTGTAAATCTCAGCACAGAGACCAGCATTCATGACTGTCGTTTATCATAGTTTCCTCAATCCACACCCCCTAGGAAAATTCTAGGATAGTACCTTAAATTAGGCCATCGCCACTTCCTTATATACAAGGCTAAAATTTCTGATGGAATTGTTTAAATAATACATAAATGCTTTGTTTGTGCCTCAGCTAGAGGTAATTATGGTCTAAATCAAGTTGATTTCAATCTACAGGCCTACACATTCATTCCAATGACCAGCATGGTACATATCAGGTAAAGAGTCAACTAAAGAGTGAAACACATATCACTACACTAACAAACACAAGTTGTATTTTAAAATGTGCTGTTACAAAATCTGAATAATTGAAATGTGTTTACTACCTTTTCCTGTACTTATATTTGGATTTATATGGTGAATGTTCACGGCTACTTTTCTTCTTTGACTTCTTACTTAACCTCTTCCTTGGTGGAGACTTACTACTTCTGCTCTTCCTACTAGATTTATTATCACTGTCAGACGGAATGGATGAACCAAAGACACTTTCATTTCTTTCACTTTTGTGGTTCTTTGACAGAGTTCCATATTTGTCATAAGAACTGCCAGCCCCCTTCCTCGGAGGAGTTCTAAGAAGGAAAATATTCATACAGTATTGCATAAAACAAATGTAAAATTAACAAAACCACTATAACATCGCTCTCTACAAAACGTTACACATAATCAAACAATCAAAAAATATATCTATAACATTCACTCGGCTAATTTCCCATAGGGATATGGATAAAATAACTTACCGGCTTCTATTACGATCCATATATTACAACATGTACACAGGTATTAAATTATATTTGTTTTATAATTACAGCCACACAAATACATTATAATTACGTAGTTAACAACAACTTGCTTCTTCCTTAACCATCAATAGACAAATGGCAACCATGACAGACAGCAGAGGTTAGAAAAGTAGAATTCACAGACAATAATATTATGGCTGTAGATAGTGCTGCTCCATTACGGCCATAATTGTAAACTGTTCGAATTCTCCGCCGTGGTAACCTAAAATCCTACATAAACTGTTCAGATGAAATAATAGAAATTCCGGTATGAAATCATGCCCGAGTCTTGTGTAAAGAAATATAGAATAATAAATATCTGCCATGTTAATTGGAAAAAAAACTAGCCGATGTATGTTATGAAGCTTTCACAGCGACCGAGTATAACGAATTATTCTCGGGCTACGAGCCGTGCACAGATGCCAATTTTTTGATTTTACATAAATTTAGCATAAGTAGGATCTGAAGTACGAACAGCGGTGATAAATGAGGCAGGAAAGATCTCTGAAATGTCGTTAAACTTCTCCTGGGCCAACAAAATCCAGTCTCCTTCAACTCCTATCTCCCATAGATCCCGCCTGACATTATCCTCCCATCTACGTCTAGGTCTCCCCAGCGGTCTCTTCCCCTCAGGCTTCCGAAATAGTGGACCCAACCAACCAGATGGCTTAGGGAACCCGAAGGTTCATTACCGAACTAACCAAAGCCCTCCACCGGACCCTGTCCTGGGCCAACAAAATCCAGTCTCCTTCAACTCCTATCTCCCATAGATCCCGCCTGACATTATCCTCCCATCTACGTCTAGGTCTCCCCAGAGGCCTCTTCCCCTCAGGCTTCCCAAATAGTGGACCCAACCAACCAGATGACTTACGGATCTCGAAGGTTCATCACCGAATTAACCAAAGACCTCCACGGGACCCTGTCCTGGGCCAACAAAATCCAGTCTCCTTCAACTCTTATCTCCCATAGATCTCGCCTGAGATTATCCTCCCATCTACGTCTAGGTCTCCCCAGTGGTCTCTTCCCCTCAGGCTTCCCAACCAAAACCCGGTGCACACCGCTTGTCCCATCCATGCGCGCTACATGCCCAGCCCATCTCATTTATAAAAGACCGATATGAATGTAATTTAAATCCATGCAAATAAAACCTATTTCGAAGATAAAACACGCAAACACGACTTCATAATTATGAGTTCACGTTATAAACTTTATGTAATAAAAAAAAAATTAAACTTCCTTATCTAATAATTAGATCAACTGCGGGCAACTTCAGAACCCCTAAACTGCTATGTTTTTACGCGAGACATAAACATGTTTACATCAAACTGGTTTGATATTTATGAATTCCATATTGAGAGAAGCCGTCAAAGGACAATGGACGCCCTGGCTGACACAGAGCCTTTTAGATGTCCAACTGTCCGCCACTCTTGTACTGAAACGTGAATCAAAGAGGTTAGAACACGTCATATGAAGATATTGAACCATGAAGTGTGATGGTTGACTCTCCTGCTTTCCATTTGGGAGTCACATCGTTAAAATCTCATCTCTGAAACTGTCTAACCTCATCGGTTACTGTGACAATTCCCTAAAATGAGCCACGACCACTTCATTTCACGTCTTTTCATTAAAGTCCGCATGTTTATAAGACCGGGATCCGATTCCAGAGAGGAACAGAATTATTCTCTTGCACGACAAAATATGTTGCAATTGACATAAGCCCATTTTATCAGGAAGACGCAATAACGGCTTGACAGCAAGTCATATCGGAGGAGGGAAATCATGCCAACAAATTGTGGTACCCTTGGTGACTCGTTGCTAAGCAACTCTCAATTATTTGCGAGACATCTGGTTACAATTGAAGGAATCGAAATTCATGTCGGGAATCCTGTAATTGCCTTCTTGTAGCAGCCTTCAACTCGAGAACACAAAAACACTTGTTATAACACTTCTTTTACCATTTATATGCACGCGCAAGGGGTAGGACTCCTGGACACGTTACATATCTGCACGTGTTTGCACGTTAAGGACAGCAAACTATACGGATTAATAGTAGTAATAGTAATGACGTGTAGATTTCAGCATTGAATATGGAAGCAGCATGTTCCTATCTATCTATCTATCTATCTATCTATACATCTATCTATCTATCTATCTATCTATACATCTATCTATCTATCTATCTATCTATACATCTATCTATCTATCTATCTATCTATCTATCTATCTATCTATCTATCTATCTATCTATCTATCTATCTATCTATCTATCTATCTATCTATCTATCTATCTATCTATCTATACATCTATCTATCTATCTATCTATCTATACATCTATCTATCTATCTATCTATCTATACATCTATCTATCTATCTATCTATCTATCTATCTATCTATCTATCTATCTATCTATCTATCTATCTATCTATCTATCTATCTATCTATCTATCTATCTATCTATCTATCTATCTATCTATCTATCTATCTATCTATCTATCTATCTATCTATCTATCTATCTATCTATCTATCTATCTATCTATCTATCTATCTATCTATCTATCTATCTATCTATCTATCTATCTATCTATCTATCTATCTATCTATCTATCTATCTGTAAGTCCACACGGTGTTCCATCCCATATGACTAACGTAAAAATGTTCGTACTATGTTCGTAGAAGATTTTGTATGTCTATACGGCAAATCACACTGTTTTTCTCCTAAATCATGAGAGCCAATCATTTTAAAAAGGAACACGCCTGCGGGTGACGTAACAATCCACTACATTTTCTGTTATTATAATCGACCTATAGGAAGTAAATTAAAATCATCTGTGTCCATAATTAACGTAAATGCAATATGATAGACGTCAAACTACATAAAACTGTGGATCTGCAGTTGAAATGCACGTGCTCTATCGTGCACATTAGAGATAAGAAATTAAATGTTTTCCTGTTCTATCTATTCAACTCAGAAACAAAAACTTTCCGATCTTAAAAACCGTATTTAAGAACTAAAGCAACTATCTGGTAGCTGAAAACCCTTTCTCGCATTTAAAAGCTTATTGAGAAGACGAAAGCTCATCCAAATAACATTTAAACATCCAGTCCTTCCAGCAAAGCATACACACCTCCATGACAACGATCAATTCGTTAATCCCGTTTAAAGAATAAACCGCATTTTGCAGTTAGAATCAAACAGAACACAAAAAAAACACTTACTGGGAAAACATTAAGAATTTTTAAACTTTAAAATTTAAAGGCAGAGATGCAGAATTACAGAGAACAAACTGGTTGTATACAAATCACAACATTCCTTATACGCCTCTACAAACACATACAGTTGATACAGCACCATTAAATAACGCAGGATACAATGAAACGTGGTACATGGACTCTGACCCAATCCATGTGACCTCAGCGTGCATCAATCTGACATCAGCGCCCTCATTAATTGACAGAAAACAAGTTATCTGATAGACGTTGCTCGTAACTCACAACCGGAGACTTTAACATGTAAGGAACCACAGATAACTCCACGGAGTACAGCACTCTTCAGAAGCTAAGAACGCTGGCCTTGTAATCCTGGGGTCTCGGGTTCGATTCCCGGCGGTGCCCGAATTTATAACTTGTGTTGGGCAAGGCCGTGGTCTAGGCAACACGGAGTTTTCCTCCGTGGCATCCCAACAATTACCCCATTCACACACAGAAGAAGGCAATGGCAAACCACTTATGGATCATCTGCCAAGAACGTATATGAACAGATCCCAGTCCGAGAAAAGGATGGAAGGATACTGTTCATATGGACCTGTCGTCAGACAGAACACAAAATAAAATAA